CTGGGAATGGCAAATGGAAAAATTAGACAGGGCCTTTTCAGAGGTGACACCAATTTTATACTTTTAAAAATGTTATTATAAGTTGTCCTGAGGATTTCTGCTTATGGTGGAAGTAAGGTGAATTTCAGATTCCATTAATTAATTAAACAAGAGATGCACTCATTCTCTAAGCTTTGGTAGATGTCATTTCTGCCTCTAAAAAGATATCCTGTCCACTAATAGAATGGTGCAGTGCAGATAGCAAAAAAGTCTTATTTTAGGGCAGAGTTGGTGATCTGGATTACGACATTGGCACTGCATGCAGAAATTCCCAGTTTTAGTCTCCAACATCTTAAGAAAAGGTTAGAAAGAGCCCAAGATGAACAGCTGGGGTAGCCATGAAAAACTAGCACCTTGTGTGATAAAGTAGGGAGAAAGAAAATGAGATATTTTCGAGTGAGGACGAAAGGTTTCTTCTAAGGCCACCTTAAAGCATTATCCAGATCTAGTTCACTGACTTTTCACTAGGGTTCTTCAAAGGGGTCAATATTGACCCCAAAGGTCAATGGGGCTACCCAATATCAAGGGGTGATATAGTTATTATGCTTGGTCATATAGTTCAGCCAATTGTTTAGACTGGATTTGGCATCCCTTTTATTGTAGTAGTAGAGCTGTTGTACTATTAGTTAAAGTAATCTGGGTTTAATTTTTCATCTAAATTAAATGTTTGAGGGTCAATAAACAACCTGAAACTTCATGAAGTATTTGTGGACCTTGTTTTTAGCTCTTATCTGAATAGGAAAGAAAGAGGAGTCTTGTGGAACTTTTGCTGGATGCTTTTATGAATTTTTTTCAGGAGACTCTGATCTAACATGGGTTGACTGAAGGCCCTGGGACTTCTTTCGCCTTTTGTCTATTCTGCTCAACAATTCTGGGAACTGCAGTCTCAACATCTGGAGAAAGTTGAGGAACGTGTTTAAAAGACCCTCAGCTTTCTCCAAGATGGTACTCTTGAAACATACCTGGACACAATGTCTATCCTACCCTTCATGCTTGCAGGACTAACGGTTGGGAATATTGGATCTTGTACTCCAAATGCATTTAGGCGGAGTGGGTCACATGCCTCAGGGAAAATTATGTTCAGTTGCACAGTCTCTTGTTCTCTCCCTACAGAACATGGTTCAACTGTATTTTTAAAATTACCCTGAACTCATAAGCCCACGTGATTATTATTTTTTTAAATCATCATAGTGTGTATCTCCTCTGCCGGGCAAGTATCTGGAACGCTCTGCAAGCAAACAAAATAATTTAGACCTCCATCCTTCCCTTATCATTATTTTAGACAGGTTTTGCTGAAACCTTTATTTCTGGCAGGATAAGGACAGGGACATGTAGAAGAAGATAAGACGAAGTACTCTGATCTTTTAAATGCCTCTTTGATTCCTAAATCTAAAAGAGAATTTGATGACTAGAGGAACATCAAGCTAGATCAACTCAATTAAATCTCTCCTTGCCCACGAAGAACTAGATTTTGTGGAGGGAGGAAAAACATAAAGAAAGGGAGGGGAGGTGGGAACAGCTGGGCATCCTGTAGTTAAGGTCTCTTTGAAGGCTTCTGTTGACCTTTTATCCTGTACAAAAATCTTTTTGCAGTATTAGGAAAGGGCCTTGAGGTAGCCAAATGATTAGCCAGGTTCAAAGTCAAGGCAGCCACATTATTCTCCCCCGGGAGGAAAAAATAACTTGTTTGCTCTGGTCCTCCCTCCTTCTCCTTCCAAGTTTGCTAACCCATGCAAGGTTAAAGTGAAACAATCCAATGGGAGAGAGAAAAAAAGTCCAGAAAAAACATTTCAGTAGTTATTAAGATCAGAGAGTCTCAAACCAGCCACAAAAACTGGATGGAACAAAAACAAAAAGAGATTTGATGCCTTTTCCAAAAACCTGTGAAAGCATCGGTGGAAGTTGGGGATTAGAAGAAAGAAAACCAGCAGCTCTTCTGCAGAATTTCATTCCTAAGTATGTGAATCCAAATGGGTTGTTGTTGTTTTTTAAAGTCTGCAACATAATATTTTAGATGGAGCTGAGGAAGTCAAAAAGAGAATGGGGAGGGAGTTGGACAAGGGGAGGGCAGGTTAAATAAAATAAGAATAAGCATCAGAAAGAAAGATAAAAAGAGGATGTCAGGAGTGTCCAGAAAAAAATGTCAACTTTAGAAAGAAAGGTGTGACAGGAAGGGGGAATAGGGAAAAAATATTAATCCTTCTGTGGGGGAGATGGGTGGTTCCAAAATATGCCTGACTGCCTGACTGCCAGACTGCCAGACAGACAGACAGACAGTTATAGATGAGAGAGACAAAGAGAAAGAGGAGGGCAGCTATATTAGATAGATAGATAGATAGATAGATAGATAGATAGATAGATAGATAG